TAGGTCAATAGATTATGGTATATATTTAGGGAGATGGATAGATATGATGACTCGTAGGTAGGTCAGTAGATTATGGTATATATTTAGGTAGATGATATGTTTGCTGGTAGGTAGATAGGTCAATACATGATGGTATATATTTAGATATGTTGCTAGGTAGATAGGTCAATAGATTATGGTATATATTTAGGTAGATGGATAGATATGTTGATAGGTAGGTAGATGGGTTAAAATATTATGGTATATATTTAGGTAGATGATAGATATGTTTGCTGGTAGGTAGATAGGTCAATACATTATGGTATATATTTATATAGATATGTTGCTAGGTAAATAGGTCAATAGATTATGGTATATATTTAAGTAGATGGATAGATATGTTGATAGGTAGGTAGGTCAATAGATTATGGTATATATTTAAGTAATTGGATAGATATGTTGATAGGTAGGTAGGTCAATAGATTATGGTATATATTGAGGTAGATGGATAGATATGTTTCTAGGTAGGTAGATAGGTCAATAGATTATGTTATATATTTAGGTAGTTGGATAGATATGTTGGTAGATTGATGGATAGATATGTGATGTTGAGATTGAGGTGGTTGTATCAATATTTATGTAGCTAGATTTATGAAAATATGTAAATAGGTGGATATTTAGCAGATGGGTATGTGGATATTTAGGTAAGTATTTACATTATGGGCACATAAGTAGTTAGATATGTTTATGGATTTATTACAAACTATATAAACTCTATACACAATAAAAAAAAAAAAAAAAAAAAAACATGTAGGTAGATGGATAGATATGCTGGTAGGTAAATAGGTCAATAGATTATGGTATATATTTAGGTAGATGGATAGATATGTTGACAGGTAGGTAGGTCAGTAGATTATGGTATACATGTAGGTAGATGGATAGATATGCTGGTAGGTAAATAGGTCAATAGATTATGGTATATATTTAGGTAGATGGATAGATATGTTGACAGGTAGGTAGGTCAGTAGATTATGGTATACATGTAGGTAGATGGATAGATATGCTGGTAGGTAAATAGGTCAATAGATTATGGTATATATTTAAGTAGATGGATAGATATGTTGATAGGTAGGTAGGTCAATAGATTATGGTATATATTGAGGTAGATGGATAGATATGTTTCTAGGTAGGTAGATAGGTCAATAGATTATGGTATATATTTAGGTAGATGGATAGATATGTTTCTAGGTAGGTAGATAGGTCAATAGATTATGGTATATATTTAGGTAGATGGATAGATATGTTTCTAGGTAGGTAGATAGGTCAATAGATTATGTTATATATTTAGGTAGTTGGATAGATATGTTGGTAGATTGATGGATAGATATGTGATGTTGAGATTGAGGTGGTTGTATCAATATTTATGTAGCTAGATTTATGAAAATATGTAAATAGGTGGATATTTAGCAGATGGGTATGTGGATATTTAGGTAAGTATTTACATTATGGGCACATAAGTAGTTAGATATGTTTATGGATTTATTACAAACTATATAAACTCTATACACAATAAAAAAAAAAAAAAAAAAAAAAAAAAAAAAAAAAAAAATTAATAAA